AAATCAAGATTTGCCAAAATATTAACATCATTTCAGTTATATATAATTTACAGCCTGTTATATTCTTAAAACTATGACGTATTTATATCTATTTTATAGTTTCTCTGTAGAATATGTATGGTCTTCCATGATATTCCAGACAATTCGCGGCGTGTAAATATATTATTGTAAAATTTGTACTCAGTTCTGTAGATTTAGTGATACATATAAGCATTGGGTTTGGTCAAATGAACAAGGTTTTCCATATTTCATAACTATATTAGCAAGAAATACGATATTAAGGACTAGGTTTCAAAATTGCTCCTTTTTATGGTTCCAGTATGTGGATTGTTGAATATAAATGAATGATAAAGGATACAAAAAAAGTTCTCGAAAATAAATAAAGTTGACTTAAAGCAGGCACACCGTAAAGCTACAAAGCTTAGTAGATCCATAAAATAATGAGCAACAGTAGAAAGTTTTTATTGAATAGTTTGAGTGAAATTCAGAGAAAAATTGTTCAATATTACAATCGTCTTGGTCGATATATACTAGTTCTTTAGATCTATTAAACGATTTAATTCGACCAGGATTCTACGTAAGATAACACCAGATAAAACAAATCAGCATCTGAAACAAAAATCAAGATGGATACACATAATATGTCAGATGTAAAGACTCGTAACTTATGAATACAATAATAATAATGAAATAACAGCATTACAGGCCATGAGTACTCTTGGTTTTAGGTTACAATAAATCAGTATCACCTAATAATGAGACTTTATCGCTCTTTGTACTACTCTTCCATCGGCTGAGTACCATTATAACGCTTTCACAATAAAGTGAGTACTCTCAGCACGTTACGTTACTAAGTCAATTGGTAGATCAAATTCTTCTTAAAGATTTTTGACTTCAGACTTAGGAATAGTAAAGAACACTACTAAGATATCCTAAGAGGTTAAATATAAAGCAGAAACATTAACGCACATTTAAGCAAACTGATAGTATGCAAAAGACCTCGTGCTTTTCATAATTATAAACTCTGTACAAGCTTACAGAGATATAAGTATGAAATAAACAGTATATCAGATACAATGCATAAAATGTTACAATTTTCTGAAACATAGAAACAATTTAATCAAGCTTAATAGAACATTTTAAATCAATTAGTAGGAGTTTAACTCCATTGAATACCTATCGTTACTCAAAACATCCACATTCTGGACAACAAAATGGACCTTAATAGATCTAAAATACTTAAGAATATTAAAAATAAGCCAGAACAACGTAAAAACTACACAAAACTGCATTTTTAATCGTGTTAATCTGATATTTTTTACATCTTAGAAATTTCTTGCTCAAATAGAATGAAGTAGAAAAACCTATACTGAAACTACAGTAATTAAAAATTGCCTATAATATCATGGACTGTAAAAGCAAATCAAAAGTTACATGGATTACAATAATAAAAAACAAATTTAATATGTCAACTAACAAAAATATAAAAATATCACAATATGTCGCTAGACCAACTATTTGTTGCATCGTAAGGTTAGAAATGTCACTTTCATCGTCAAAATCGAGACTATCCATAGTTCCAGTAAGCGGTGTGTACAGATTCAAAACTGTTCTTGTAAGTGGACAAAGAAAACCTTGTAAATTCGATTAGTACTCTTACATATATATTTTGGTTTTTGTATATAGCCTGGAAGATAAATATAACCGTAACAAACCATAGTCCCTATGATTATGACGCCTATGGAGCACGAGGTAAATAGCCTAAAAACCGCGAATTAGCAGAACGTTAATGTGTTGTGACAGATAGAGATTATTATACACAGTATAAAATAAACATAGTTTAGTTTTAAAGTTGTTATTTGACCTTCAATAAATGCACATAATATTTTTTTATCATTGATTTTCTTGAAAACCCATAAAAACTCCGAGAAACATCTAAACTCATGATAAAATCCTGAAATACTAGATCAAGGACTGCCATGCTCCAGAAAACAGTTATAGACATGAATTAAATTGAAATTCCAAAAGTTAAAACAAAGCTTCTAAAGGTCGATTCAGACACATCAGTCCCGTCACAGTCCCGGCGCCGAACCGGTCCTGTTTGGTCACAGAACTATTAATTATCTGACAGCTGGGAAACTGTACGTCGCCTGATGAATGTGAATGCCGGCGCCATATTTCTATTAAAGAATATTTTGTATGACGGATTGTTCGGTTCGGCGCCAGGACTGTGACGAGACGTGACTGATGTGTCTGAATCGACCTTAATTTATCATTTTTTTGGTATGAATAGAAAAGTAAGATAAGATCATAGATCTATAAGAATGTGTTTTCAAGATTTTTGAAGATCACTAGATATGTAGTTGGAAAGGCCCGATACAATCAGATGAAAAACAAAAATATTGCAAGACTGCAATAATTTAAAATGAAAAAATAGATAACATCTGCTCATTAAGATCACAATTGAAAAGGTGGATTCCAAAAGAGCTTAGGTCATTTTTTTTTCACATTTTGAGGCTTTAGTTGGATTTGATTCTAGAGCATAATTTCTAACATTAGAAAAACAATTCGTGCCATAACAGCTTAAGTCAAGTATTCTAAACAGATTACAACTCAGTAATGTTTTCCAAAAGTGCTTTAGTCATGCCTTGTCCGTTTCCAAACAGGCATAAGTCAGCTGTTGAGTGTTTTCGAATGCGCGATTCCAGCTGTCAGTATCTATTTGCTGTGAGTTTTTGGTTATGGTTATGCGAGAGAAAAATGAAGACCTATAGGACAAAAATCTCAAAAAATTCGCAAGAAATAGTAAAGAAGCTCATCCAGATCCTCGCATTCTTTATGCTGATAAAGGTGATGTTTGTAAGGCATAAATATTGACTCCTAATTATGTAAGTAGCTTTTATGATAAAATTTACTCACATAAGACTGCTGATCAGAACAACTTCGTATTCAAATACCTTCTTAATCAAGAGTCTAAGCAACATAGACCTAGAAATAAAACAACTCCACGATCTCTAACAGTTACAAAATATTTCATTCAAAATACTACATACACCAATACACAATTTTGATCAAAAAGATTAAATCGATTAGCTAAAGCATTAAGAGAGTCAGGAGAATGTCCTCGTGAAAAGCGGGGTGGAGCTAGGATAAAACCCAAAAATTCAAGTACAGCTCAATCAATGATTGATTTCATAAAATCATTAAAGTTCTGTGAAACATTATGGTCGGGGTAAGAGCGTTCACGGTTACCTTAGTCCTGAGTTATCTATTAAAAAATTGTGGCGTATTTGGAAACAGACTCAAAAAGAACAGAAGAAGTCAAAAAAATTTGTTAAAATCCTTTATAAAAGGTATATAAAAGTCACTTGCATCTTACTCAAAGTTCTTCAAGATTTTCAAGACGAAATTCAATTTAAGTTTTGGCAGTCCAAAGACAGACGTTTGTTCATTTAGTAATCTAACAAACAGTGAAATATACTTATGCAAAGACCTTCAAGAAAAAGGTTATTACAACGTACAGATTGCACAAGTTACGAGCTAAGACATTTTATGAACTGCTTAAAAGAACAGAAGCTAATGTAGTTAATGTATGTTTTGTCGTGGAACAAAACCAGTCTCTTCCAAAACTAAGAGTTGGTGAGGTATTTTATTCTCTAAAAATTTGGGTTTATAACCCTACTTTTGTATTGATGAAAGGTACACAAGATTCTACTAATACGTTTGTGTACACATGGACTGAAAACCAGAGTGGGCGAGACTCCAATGAAGTAGTTTCAGCTCTGTACAACTATTTGTGGATTTTGGAAGACAAGTTTAAAAATGTTCCAGCGAAATCATTGATACTTCAACTGTTTTCTGGTGCTAGCAGTTGACAAAATAACAATCAAAATGTTTTGGGTTTCGTACTTAGATATGTGCAGACTTCCAGAGCGTTTAGTGATATTCAGCATTGCTATCCAATCAGGGTACATAGTATATGCCATCTGATAGAGTATTTGGAAGAAAAGAAACAATAGTTGAACCAGAGGAGTACTACAAAGTGTTTGCATCTTCAGGTACAGTGAAAGTTTTAGGAAACGAGTGGGAACTTTTTGATATCATGGATGCTGCAAAACGAATTTTATTGAAGAAGCTCCCTTTTTTGATCCGTGAACAAAGAGTTTTTTCATTTTAAAATAAAATTAATAAAGACATTGAAGCTAAAAATACCTACTGTGGAAAAAAGGATGCAATTTGCTGGGAGTGTACAGTACAATGAAGTCTATGTTATTAGTGAATCATGTAAGTGAAAAGGAGAAAAAAGATGTGGAAAATCTTCTCAAATTTATTTCATTATCTGAAAGTTCAAAAGACTTTTATAATACTGCACTTACTAATGTGCAAAACGGTTATAACGATAATCATACTGTAGTGAATTAAAACAAATTTTGCCAGTGGGAATACAAATATAAAATTACAATTACATGCACTAAAGATTTTCAATTTAAAACATTCAGAAAATTGCTATTCCATTCACCAAAATATATCAAAAATTTCGTGAATTACTCTTTAGTATATTATAATTTTGATTTTGTAGAATCGATGAGATAGCTAAAATAAAACGATGTTTACACAGTACTGAGAATTATATATAATATAAAATATATTAGAAGGTATTTTGATTATACTGGTTATTTGTTTTGAACTTATTTCCCTGTTCGACTGCTATTATAGATTAATTTTTAAAAAAATGTACATATATTTAAAAAAAATTATGACTGTTCATTGGAAAAGTCTTCATATTAAGTTTTAATGAAACTATAGATAGTCAAGATTATAATACCGACAAATTGACAAACCTGTCACCGTAACAATCAATCAAAAAACCAAAACGACCTAAGCCAAACAAAAAATTGATTACAAACACCATAAAAAGCCTACTCTCACATTTAGTACAAGTATATGGGGAGTAAACTCGAAACATAACCCACTGGGTCTTATAAAAAATATTGTTTTATTTACTTTGGTGAGTCCTCACCGCTCCATTCCTCTAATTCTTCCTGTAATCTCAGTTCTAGCTCGCGCATGTCGTTGGCTATGCCTGCTTCGTACATGGCGTCGTCTGAGGTCCCTGATGGGTTGCCGTTGTTGTAGTTTCCCATCACTTGGTTGAGGGATTGGACGATTTTTGACTACAGAAAAAACATATATTATTACTTAATACTTACGATAGTGAAAACATGTTACATATTGGGTATAATCACAGAATACACCACCCACAAAGAAGCGAAACAAAGGGCTTTTTCGCAATCCAAATTTTTTTGCGTATGTGCGAATCTGCCATTTTCTAAATAGTTTATCTGTCAACCTACCCTACAAAAACACTAGTGTATCCACATTTGAATGTGACAATGAGGTTTATGTGTATTGTTGGTTGCATAAGAATAACTCTAAAATTAATAGCAAATCAAAATTAAAGGTTTTTTAAAATAGTTTTAAAAAGTATTTTAAAAAATACTTTTTGCGCATTTTTTCCAATAAAAATTTGTTATTTTATACACAGGATGTTGACTGATGTTATATATCAATAACTATGATACCAACTTTCTTATTTTAAATGAAACATTGGTTAGGTATATTATAATTTTTTTGGATTATGCACACAATTCCCAGAACTTTGATATATTGCATGTTATAGTTTTAATTAACTTATTTTAGGATACAGGGTTGTTAATGAATAGATCACTCTCTGCGTGTCTCCTTATGACTTTAAAACGTTCTGTACCTAATTTCAATAAAGAAAAGTGAGTTCATTAATGTTCAAATAATGTATATAGTACTCTAAGATATGTGCCTATATTCTTTTAAAATAGATATTATGTCAAATAAATGAAACTTGCCTATATTTTTACCAGGTGTGAAATGGAATGTACATAAGTAGGTATCTTAAAGGCTATATATTTTAAAGTTAATATAGAAGGGATTGTGCCTTTAATACACTGTATAACAAAAACAGGTAAATAAAAGCATGGCAATCCAATATATTGATAAAGTTCTTTGTATTTTGTATTGGATACAATAACTAAATAATATACCTGGTGTTCCATCTAAAATAATAAAGTTGGCATCAGTATTTAGGTACATGACATCACACTCTGTATAACACATTTTTATTGGAAACATATGCGCAACAAAAAAAATTAAAAAAAACAGAGCTTTTCGAGGAACTATTCATCATTTAATAAATAGATATTATTATAAACATAGATTATAAACCTCATTGCTCACTGACACATTCAGAAATGAATACAAATGAACTGCGCAAGTCTACACAGAATAGTGGGTCAGGCTCTAGACACTAGTTACAAAAACTGAAGTTTGTTTACAATTTACGTACGGTAAAACACCCAATAGTCAGCCTCGCACCAGTAGTAGGCCTTTACAGTCTTTATTATAATGTAAATAGTGTTGAAATTAGTTTAAACTAGTGAAATAACTGTTGACAAAATTTATGTCCATTTATTGGTCAATACGCACACCCCCGAACCAATAGCACCACAGGTTGATGAGTCGCTGTTGCAATTTTTTGCTAAAATTAATCATTAGATGCATTTTATTTGTATATTACGTTTTAATTTAGGAGCCGACTACTGGGTTTTCGATTTTTATTTGATTTTGAAGGTTGATCCAGTACTCAGCCACAAGGAATTTTCTTAGATCTATTTCGTCAAAATTAATAGAGCAAATAGTCCATAGTTTAAGCTTTGGATTGAATTAACCAGTTAGATAACAAAAGGTTAATTTTACCAGTAGTCAGCCATGTATAAAAGTAAATGCACGATGATGGCCGAGTAATAGACTTTAAACTTCAATAGTCAGCCGTTAGTTCGACTATAAATCTGTAAATAATCTTTTATTCTAGATTGTCATCATGACGAAAAGACCAATACACTGGTATAAAGAAGAGCAATATTATCATAAGCTATAAGCGCAATAAGAAATGGGATGAAAATTAGAGAAGATATACTCGGTTCACAATTTGTTGATAGCTCACTACAAGTTTAATCCTAATTAGAGAACTGAAATACAGAGAGAATATGTAATACGATATAATAGTAAAAACCAACCTGAAACTGACGATTTAAGATGTTTTCGACTAACCCACCTTGTATCTGCCGGAATACAATGCAGCGTTCAAGCTTATAATCCGATTAGGAACGTATTTTGGCCCACCAGTGTCGTACAGTATATGATTGAAACGTTTATTTGAACTAAATAAATATATTTTTTAAATTGTATTTTTTGTTTTAATAAAACTTATAATAAAATAAAATATTTTATTCAAAAATAAAGTTTTTTGTCATTTGTAAAAGATACATTTATTTAATTAAGGGCAAAGGCACCAAATATCCATTATTTTCGAATTCGGAGAAAACTAATAAATATTTTTGAAAAATTTAAAAGCAGAATGAAAGATTACATTATTACTGAGGGTATTATATATGTGTATACTGATGTATATTACAGAAAGTCCCTGAAAACTTCTACAATGTTTATTTTATTATGTTATGCAACAGGGATGAAAATAAAAGAGATAATATAGTATAATTTTTAATTGAAAATATTGCATGCAAAAGAAACTTTTTTTTTATTCTAATAAATATTTTATTCTGCCTTTAAATTTTTCCAAAAAGGCTTTTTAGTTTTCTCAGGATTTGAAAAAAAATCGATACATTTAAAACACATTGAACATTTTGACAGGCGACGTTTTGCGCCTTTTCCCTTTAATACCTTACGATTACAACTACTATCACTTACCTTATATAATTACGATTAGAAAACTATTCAAATTCAAAATAAATAGGATCAACTTCGGAATCCGAGTCGTCTTGAGGGTTAATAATTAGCGGTTGTGTCTCTACGGTCGCATCAATTATGTTATTAAAATCCCACATTTTTTGTTCTTCTTCTATTACATGTCTTACTGCATCTTTTCAGTTTTGTTCTGTAATATGTTGTAAAGACTCGTATAACAATTCACGTACAGCTTGTATTTTATATGACGTATTTTTTCTAGCCAAATAACTTTTCATTTGTGCCCAAATGAGTTCAATTGGATTTATTTCGCAGTGGTAGGGTGGAAGTCTAAGGACTGTGATGTTTTGCCTTTCCGTAATTTTGTCAACTACGTATTTCTTGAACTTAGATTTGTGTTACCGGGCAATTTTTAAAAGTTCTGTTTTTACCATTTTATCTTCGTAAGGCAGATACTTCCAATCCGCAGCCAGTCCAGAATATCCTGTTTTTTCCACGCAGTCGTTGGAAGTCTTTCTACTAGTCGTGAATGATAAGGTGCATTATCTAATACTATAATTGAATTTGGTGGTATGTGTTCAATCATCTGCACAAAATACTCTTCGAAAACATCAGCTGTCATCTCCTCGTGATAGTCTTTTGTGCTTTTGGACTGAAATTCCAACAAACCATGCTTAACAAATCCTTTTTCACTGCCAATGTGAGAAATTATTAATCTACTGCCTTTACCAGAAGGTGGGGAGATACGAGTAGACCAACCTTCCATAAAGGCTTGCCTGGAGCTTAATATATTTTTATCTGACCAAACTTTGTTTAGAGTATGACCTGAGTTTACCCACGATTCATCCTGGCCTTCCTTCAGCCCGGAATTTTCGTATGGATCTTAGATAATTTCTGCTCCAACATATTATCTCCTCCCGGTCAATCAAAAGTGATTTTCGGTCTGATTTCTCCCACCGGAAATTTAATTCTTTTAAAACTTGCCACAATTTAGTTCGTCCGATATGAGGCAAATCCGGATCATCTCTAACTTCTTGTAAAATTTTATTTAGGTTTGGTATTTCTTTTTGAAAAAAAAAAATCCATGAGTTTTCCTTCGAATACCATTTTTGGCAAATTCATCAAGTTCAATAGGCTTTTTCCCTCTCTTTAAGTGTTCGTTTGTGTTTGGGTTAGCTATACCGTGTTTTTTTCTTTCTGATAGGAACCTATATATAGTTGACTCCCCTACGCCAGTCATGTTGGCACAAATTTCGACTATGTTGCGAACAGTGTTTGTGGGATTCTGAGAAACCAGAGCATCGTGAACATTCAGGACAATAGTCTTCTCGCTTGGTAAATAGACAGACTTACTGACTGTACGCAACAGTACCGGGGTAAAACTTGGTAATGTTGATGATGAAGCCATCACAAACAATCCAACAAAACGAGCACGAGCGAAAGGTACGTATATGTTCGTAGGTGTATGGAATAAAAAATCACTCACGCACTGTATATAATTCGCAAAAGAAATAATCGAGACGCTAATTACTGCCGTAGAAGCGGAAACACCGACGAGCCGTAAATTACATGCGATCAAAAACGTACTAAACAAACAAATTGTTTTCGTTCGTAATAACTTCACCCTTTTAAGTTAAGTTCCGAATATAAACTAAACAGACGAGGTACGAGGCCAAAACCGGCGTCTATACCCATTATATTATTAAAAGTCTGGGGAATTCCATCCTAATTATCTTGCAACCGATAGTACCTTCGGATATAAATACCAGGTTTTCTAGTAAAGTGATTAAACGCGAAGATTAGTATTGAAATATCCAAAGAGATAAGGTATTCTTATTTACAAAATTTTTAATGGTTAAATTATTATTTTTATTAATATAATATAATAACCAACATTAGCCGTGAAAGTTTTAATTGTTTTTTACTAAATATATCAGTATTAAAACATTATTAATATTAATATTAATTTTAATGAATAAACACCTCAGGAACGCCTATGATGATACAAATTTTACGACCGGTTGATGATTTTGAGGTATATCTCGTGCTATCAACAATTTGTGAACAGAGAATAGTCGAGCTTTAGCGTACCACGAGGAACCCGACAAGATCGGCCACATTTAAAAGTCCCAGAAGTACTCCGTAAAATGGGATCAGACTCAGTACTTTCTAAAGAAGAGACTGCCTTGAAAGAGTGGTGCATAGCCTCAGCAAAATGTGGCTTCCCTTTAAAACGCGACAATCTTCATAATACTGTCCATAATAATATTTCCCAAGAGGACATACCTATACCTAACCCATTTGTAAATAATAGGCCGGGAAAAAAATGGTACGAGTCATTTTTTAGATAAAATCCTGAGTTAAGTGAAAGGACACCCGAAAATATATCTAAGGACCGAGCAGCAGTAACTGAAGAAAGTATTCGGAAGTGGTTTACTGAATTACTGAAGCACTTAGAGGATATAAACGCGACTGATATTTTGACTGACCCAGATCGTATTTTACATTGTGATGAAACCAGTTTCTACATGTGTCACAATTCAGGAAAAGTTATTGCACCTACAAGATACAATAATGTCTAAAAATCATAAAAGGCCAAGAAAAAGAGACTGAGAGTATGTAAGGGCGAGCGCCCACCAAAGTGGTGTGGCAGTGGCAAGTAGCAAGTAGCACGCGTCTAGCATAATGTAACCAATGAAAACGAATGATTCAGTTTACACCAAAATGACAGTAACGTCATTCATTCTAATCATTCGTTAGGATTGGTTACATTATGCTAGACGCGTGCTACTTGCTACTTGCCACTGCCACGCCACTTTGGTGGGCGCTCTCACTAAGAGTGATACACGCTCTAAATCATTTAAATACAAAACATATTATTTTATAAATTTTCTAAAACCTTTATTTTTTTTATATAAACAACGAAAAGGTATTTAGGGAAATTTTACTCACCAGACAAGCCTCCTTCTGCTTCTCCTGTATGCCTTGCTCGATCAACTGAAGCTCCTGCGTCAGTCTTTCGCTGTCACTCAAATTAGTCACACCTTGAGTAGCGATTTTAAGATCGTTTAGTTGTTTCTCGAGGTTTCGTAGTTGAAGCTTCACCCTCTGCGATTCGGCGATCAGTTCTTTGGAGGGATCTTGGAGTCTCGGATGAAAGAGAAATTGTGAATCTAGAGAAATTATGAATTAAAACAAAATAAAACACTTGGCGAATATTTGAAAGTTGAAAATAACTTTCAGTCCAGTCGGAAAATGTAGAAAGATAGTTTAAGTTGGTTGTAAGTGAGTGCGACCTTGGACATTTTTGTAGAATTAGGATATACATAATTGTTTATAATTATGAAACATATTACCTTAAATGTTTCAAGTTTACTGTTAGTACTTCCAGTTTGTTTTGTACCAACTGTAAGGACGATGTGGGAACACAATAAATATGATTTGACTATACTCCGCGATTTAATAATAAAATTAAAGTTACTCAAGATCAAATTAGTTATTAAGAAATGGGTGATTTACTTCTAATATCCTTACTATAAGCAACAAATCCTTCGCTACCTGGATGTCCTACCATGGCATGACCAGTTGGTATAGCCGCTTGATGATAGTGACTGTTGTTATTGTAGTTAAAATAAGTTAGTGGACTTGCTGAGGTGACAGGTCGTCGGATCTGAAAGAAAAATTAGCATATTATGTAATTGATGGATTCGACCGTTACTTGATGGAAATTCATTTTATGTAATAATAAAACACTGAAAACTTTGTTTTCAAACTTCCACAAAATTTATTTTAAATCTTATCACTACAGCTGTTTCGGCTGATAGCCTTTCTCAAGTGATCTATTTTTGGCTTGGGTTTACAAATTTATAGTCTCTAATGAAATAGGTTGTGGAGGGGAGAACTGTTTGTCTCAAGTTGGTCATTCAGAATTATATCTGTGTTTTTTAATTTGTTGATTTCCATAGATTCTAACAAAGATAGCTTAAGGCCTTTATTTTGAATGTGAAGAATTTTTAATTTGTCATTAAAAGAATGATTATGATCTAGAAGGTGAAGTGCGTATGTCGAATCTGTTTTTCTACGGAATGGGACGTTTCGGCGTCGCCGTTTCGGCGTGGCCATTTCGGCGTGGCCGTTTGGGCGTAGAGCCGTTTCGGCGTAGGCCGTTTCGGCGTAGGCCGTTTCGGCGTCGGCCATTTCGGCGTCAGAAATTTTATTTTAGTTGACTAAATACCTACATTGAGGTTTATTGGTCAGGCAATTTTTTGGAAAAAAATCTTTTAATATAGTTATTTAAATACATTGGAGTTCATTGGTCACACAATTTTAACATTAATGGTCAAGTAGAAAAATAAACTAAATATATTTCTTTTATAAACATTTTGTTATATTTTATTCTGCAAATACCTATATTGGATTTTTTATTAATGCATATTAATAATAATTGCTGTTCTCTTAATTGTCCCAGAGCTAATTAGATGATAACTGACATTTTTCAACTTTAATTAGACATACATTATATGGTATATAGACGGAGAATTTTAATATTGTTAAAATATCTTTTTTAAGCAAAAATATTTGCAGAATGTATATTTTTAAAAAAAATTAAATTATACAATATTTTCTTGAAAGGAATCTGCTTTTAAAATATTTACCATTAGTTAGTATAATAATAGTTATCCCTATATTTATTGCAGTTTCTTCGAAAATTTAAATACAAAATTCTATAAATCACATAATAATGTTATTAACATTTCCTCGAAAACTAAATTACCTGTTAATTCCAAATGACATTATCATGTATCAATTAGTTGTTGATTTCAAAAATTACATTATAATGTCATTAACGAGAGATGCAAGTTATTTGTTGATTTTAAATATTCGAAAACTAAATTAGTTGTTGATTTCAAAAATTACATTATAATGTCATTAACGAGAGATGCAAGTAATTTGTTGATTTTTAATCTTAAGGGAAATTTTAAGTAGGTACCTACCTATTATTGATTTGATTGGTTGGATTATTGAGGGTACAGCTATATAAACAGAGATCAGTTTAAGAGTTTATGTAGTGTCTTATAATATTTCATAGTAGTATTTATACGATATACAGACGAAGAATTTTTAAGCTATGGAACGAAAAATTTTATCGACCAGAGGAAGAGAGAAATTTACCACTGATGGTTTCATGTATGTTTTTGACGCTGTTAGTAAAAGCGATGAATCCCTAAAATTTTGGAGGTGTGAGAGGAAACAAACGTGCAAAGCAAGAATACATACAAGAGATGGTGAAGTCATCAAGAAAGTAAATGTTCACACTCACGACTCCTCGGCGATGGACGTGGAAGTAGCACAAGTTGTTACAAAAATGAAAAAGCGTGCTACAGAAACAAACGAAGGGACAATAGTGGTAATCAATGAGTGCCTGAGAAATACAAGTCAAGCTTGTCATGGTCGGCTCCCAAACACTGGCGCGATGAGAAAATTCATCAGACGAAAACGTAACGAAGTTCATGCAGCCCCATCAAATCCGACAACTGTTGAAGAGTTAGTAATTCCCGAGTCTTATCGTGTTTACACGTTACAAGATGGTGTAGAAGAAAATTTTTTATTAGCAGATGATGGAGAAGGATTGCAAAGAATTTTGATTTTCGGGAGAGAATCGTGGCTGCAACATCTACAGACCTCAGATGTGTGGTATGGTGACGGTACATTTGCTATAGCACCATCTCTATTTTTACAAGTATACACAGTTATGGCCACAAAATATAATGGAGTCCATCCAATATTTTATGCCATGCTGCCGAATAAAACAAGATCCACATATACCCGTATGTTTGAATTGATCAGACAAATTGTACCAAATTTGCAACCCAGAGCAATCCATTGCGATTTCGAACAGGCGGCATTTAAGGCAATGGAAGATTGTTTTCCAGGCGTCGACATCAATGGATGTTTTTTCCATTTGGCACAAAATATGAAGAAACAAGTGGCTGCTATGGGATATACGAGAGAGTATAATGCTGATCCACAATTCGCTTTAAATTGCAGAATGTTGACAGCATTAGCATTTGTTCCTATCGAACATTTAGATGATGCCTTTGCCGTTCTAGCGGAAGCTCTACCTGCTGAACACCAACCACTTGTAGACTGGTTTGAAGACTACTATATTGGACGTATGAACAGAAGAGGAAATGGCAGAAGACCAAGTTTATTTCCCCAAAGGATGTGGAACCTCTACCAGAGAACTCTGGATGGAGAAGACCGGACAAATAATCACGCTGAGGCCGCCCATAGAAGACTCAAGATGGAATTGGGAGCAGATCATCCAACCATATGGAAATTTATAGATGGCCTGCGTCAGGTGCAGAAAGGTCGAGATGTCTATTTCGAGCAACTTGTGGCAGGTAATCTCCCACCATTGAAATTAAGAAAATACAGAGACGCAGATGATCGCATTTCACGGCTTGTGGGAAATTTTGATGCAAACGGGGATGTTTTAGAATTTTTAAGAGGACTAGCACATAATTATAATATGTAAGTAGGTACTTTATTTTAATTAATATTTCGTGAATAAGTTTTGTAGGTTAAATATAAATGTCTTGTATGTAAGTATAAATGTTTCAGAATTTTTAATTGGACTAGCACATATCTAATTATAACATGTAAATACTTTATTTTAATTAATATTTCGTGAATAAGTTTTGTAGGTTAAATATAAATGTTTTGTATGTAAATATAAATGTTTCAGGATTTTTAATTGGACTAGCACATATCTAATTATAACATGTAAATAATAACTAAAATAAAATATTCATTTTTCCAAAATCTTGTTTATTCATTTATTTATATATAATATCTACAGCTAGAAGCCAATTACAGATATTACATTAACTATGAGCTAAATAACAAGCACACACACATAAGTATAAAATTCACATATACAAATCTACCATTAATATTAAAATTTTGTGATCAATGGACTCCAATGTATCTATTTAAATAACTATATTAAAAGATTTTTTTCAAAATAATGTCTTACTAATAGACTCCAATGTAGGTATTTAGTCAACTAAAATAAAATCTCTGACGCCGAAATGGCCGACGCCGAAACGGCCTACGCCGAAACGGCTCTACGCCCAAACGGCCACGCCGAAATGGCCACGCCGAAACGGCGACGCCGAAATGTCCTAGACCCGTTTTTCTATTCTTGAAAGCCCTTTTATGTTCTGCTATTCGTTTATCCAAGTTTCTGCCAGTTTGACCGATGTAAGTTTTTGGGCAGTCGCCACATTGAAGTTTGTACACACCACTATTTAAGTGTTTTTTATTTTGGCTCTTGTTATTTTTAATATATTTACCTAGGTTGTTATTTGTTCGGAAAGCTGGTGTTATTCCTTTCTTTTTTATGTGTTTGGCAATTTTTGTTGTTATTTTGCCTGTATATGTAATCGAGCAGAAGGTACTGGGTTTTTTCTCTGGTGGTGGAAATACTAATTTCAGGGCTTTCTTGTGTAGTTTTTGATTTAACATTCTATTAATTGTTTGTTCGTTGTATCCGTTGTTTACTGCTATTTGCTTAATTATATTTAATTCTGTCTCAAAGTTGTCTTTTGGCATCGGAATTTCTGTTAAACTATGTAACATACTATGATAAGCTGCCAGTTTATGTTGTGTTGGATGGGATGATGAATTGTGTATGGTCGTGTCAGTATGGGTAGGTTTGTGAAATATGGAGAAGTCATGTTTGTTTTGAAGTCTGCTAATTTTTAAATCTAAAAAAATTATGCATTGATTTTGTTCTGTTTCTATTGTAAATTCAATATGACTATGAAGTCAATTAATATACGATAAAAATTGGTCGAGTTGCCTGTTAGTTCCTGTGAAACATACCAGTACGTCGTCTACGTATCTCCACCAATATAAAAACTGTTTGAATACGGGATGTTTTAAAATCTTTGTCTCTAGATGATCCATAAAAATATCTGATAGCAATGGGCTTAGAGGATTACCCATTATAAGTCATGCACTGTTATTTGTATATATTTTATTATTAAATTCAAAGTAGTCCTGGATTATGCAAACTTCAAGAAGATGTAAGATTTCAGATGTAATTATCGGATTTGTACTATTTTGGTCTAAAAGGTTTTTTAGTAGAATAAAAGTTTCTGTAGGAGGGATACTAGGAAAAAGATTTTTTACGACAAATGAAATTAATCTGGAGTTGTTAGGTAATTGGAAATGTTGTATTTTATTAACTAGTTCTATTGTATTTTTTATGGTAAATTTAGGTGAAAATTTAGTGTGTTCTAAAATAATCTCGTAACAGTTTTTTTGAAATTTTATATGACGGAGCTGTATAAAAAGAAACTACAGGTCTTATTGGGTAATCCGGTTTGTGTAGTTTAATGAAAGATAATTCAGGAGGCTGTGGGTTCATGATAATAAGGTATTTCTGTTCTATTGGATTTAGTATTGCTTTTGAATTTTCTAACGCTAGCTTAATTTGTTTTTGATATTTTTCTGTCGGATATCAAAAACAAATTAAGCTAGCGTTAGAAAATTCAAAAGCAATACTAAATCCAATAGAACAGAAATACCTTATTATCATGAACCCACAGCCTCCTAAATTATACTCTTTCATTAAACTACACAAACCGGATCACCCAATAAGACCTGTAGTTTCTTTTTATACAGCTCCGTCATATAAACTTTCAAAAAAACTGTTAGAGATTATTTTAGAACATACTAAATTTTAGAACTGTTAGAGAATTCTGTTTGCCGGTGTCAACTCGCTTGTTACAGAGGCTCGATAGAGCTTCTTACACGAATAAGCCGGTATCTGTATCAACTCCTATACGAAGATGGATCATCGCAATACGAGATCATCTTCAAGAGCGGCGGTCGCTGAGCATCCAGAAATTTACCACATCATACACCAAATTACCACATCAGACAATCTGGCGTATCTCAGATTACACGTTATGTATAGCAAGTTATAATAAATAGATCGGTATCGTGAGTTTAAAAAAGCAGAGAGTGGGGGAGAGAACGAGAGAGGATTGATAGAAAATTGGGGTTGAGAGGAAGTGAGTGAGCTGGAAATAGTGAGGGGAAGAGAGGAACTGAGTGAGCTGGAAATAGTGAGGGGTAGAGAGAGAGAGAGAGAGGGAGAGAGTGAGAGAGAGTGAGAGATAGAGAGAGGGAAAGAGTTAGAAAGGGTGGTCAAAAAAGGGAACAGGGCTGAGAGGTAGACGACAGAGAGTAATTTGTAGTAATTAATGAATGAATTAACTGACTGTGCATTGAGTAAGTTGAATATTCAGAGATTGTGGGTTAAAATTTCAACTGTATCACTCTTTTAAATACTGATGTGGCTTAAATCGTTTTTGCATAATTTAACAATAAAATCTACTGAGTGATTAGGATAATCCAATTTTTAATGTTTTGTGATTTAACTGCTTTTTGCATAATACCATCCAACTTACGCTAGAAAAATAATGATGGTAGCCAACCATCTTTCGACAAAAGTGTGAAATTGGCAAATATTTCTTAATATAACTGTAACTATACTTACCAAGGCTTGATTATCTCTGAACTGACCACCAACGGACTGATTAATCCCGTTATCTTTAGGCATCCGCGAAATAGGTCCATATTTACTAATAGCTGGCGAGTCGTAGGGGACGCAGTCGTCATCAGCGGCCAAAATCGAGTCTGATCTAACAAACGTAGGAGCGGAGGTGGTAATATGCGGCCAAAAATTGTAGGGCGATGTCGGGCTCTCTAAATCCTGTTGCGATTCTTGTCTAGCCAATGTGCTTGCGTGGTTCGAAATCTCCGTAGCAGCATTTTTGCCTACCACCTTCTCTAACTGAGAAATTACTTCTTGTTTTCGTTGGTGTAGCTCGGCTAAGCTCTTAGTCGAGCTTCTGTTCAGTTTCGGTTGTTGGTTGAAGTTCTGGTTTTTGGCTATTTGTGACATCTGCAAATTAAACACGTTGATAAAACCACTAAAAATATTAAAAAAGAAAAAATATTATTACCATAAAAGAGTTTGTATGAAACGTCACAGTTTACTACAATAAACAGACTATAGTGGATTTCTAAATCAAACATGCCAAAAAACCTTCTTCAAGAAACATGTCGAATTATGAAACAAACGGAATAGGACCCCAGGTGGGTAGAGTTACTAACTTGGAATCCCACACCGGGAAATCGGTTCGCCTCAAGGATTCTGGGGGAGTCAAATATTCGACAAAAATAAATGTAGGAACGTATAATATCAGATAAATGAACAAAGACATTAAAATCCACGAACTAGAGAAAGAACTGACTAAAAGACAGTGGGATATTATCGGCATATCCGAAGTAATAAAAAAAGGAGAACAAAAAATACAGCTAAAATCAGGAAATTTGGTATACTAAAGGTAATGAAGAAAACACCAACAATGAAGTAGGATTTATAATAAATAAAAAAGTAGTTACATACATACAATCTACCAAGGGATATCAGAGTACCATACAGCTATGGTACCATAACAACAGCTATGGAAGAAAAGAAATCCAAATTAACGCTAATAATCGGGGACTTCCCCGATCCTATAAAAGTAATAACCAATTGCAATAAAAATGTTGGTTCAACAATTATAACATCAATACTTACCACTACTTCCCAAGACCTCTTCATATCAACTCCTTGTTGTGGCTGATTTCCAATGGAAGGATACTCTCCTTGCTGCGGTTGATAATACTGCCCTCCATTTGCGAGGACAATGTTCCCGTGGTTTGGAGGCGAATAAATTTCATGAACAGGAAAACTGGAAGGTTGAGGTTGATAAACAGGTTGTGAAAATGGCTGCGTTGAAGGATACGTTGGGTTGGGATGGAACGGTACGTCATATCCCATTCTAGGTATCTGGACTACTGGCTGTAGTGGTACCGGACTTACTGTCGATGTGTTAGAGATGGAGTAATAGTCTTCTGATTGGTTGAAGGGTTTTTCAGTTGGCGAGTGATTTTCTATACGGTGCTCTTTATTTCTTGTTATCGTCTTGCGATTCTGGAAACAGGAAAATAAAGCTATGTAAGTGACAAAATAAAACTTTATCAAGTAAAGTACGTCAAAAAATTAAAAGTTTACGATTGTATATTGATAATTCTATACACAATTTAAATCACATGATTCATAAGAACTTACGAAAACACAAAAAGTGAAATATTTGAGAAAAATATAAAAATAAAGTAAGTAAAATAAATATTTTTGTTTTTTTTTTGCTTACCTTTGCTCTATACTTTTCCAGCTCCTCGTTCGAGTGTGCAAAAGTGCAGTTCGTTCCTCTTGGACAACTTCCCCTCAAAGTTAAATCCCTACACATGCTGATCTTGTACTTTGCATGCTGTGAGTGCGCAGTATCTTGCAGTTTTCTACTTCCATGTTGGTGAATGAACTCTACGAGGCCGGCCACAACTTGTCGAACTGCTTCCAGACATTCTGCGCATGCACTCCATGATGGAGAAGTGGATTCTGAAAAATAAATTGATATTCACATTTTGAAGGGAAAAAGATATTTTGTTTCTCATCTGACAATATAAGCCTGATCATTTACAAAGATACACAATACAAAATAAGACAACCAAAACGACTATTAAGACGATAAAATAAGTTTAAATTGTATAGATTACTAAAAGCTGGTAAAGAATAATAGTGAAACATCAAGGGCACCTCAATCTCAACGTTTGAGATAAAATAAAGGAGAATCATGTTATTCCGATACATTATTATAATTAATTTTAATGTATACAGGATTTTAATCTATAATTTTTATTTGCATTTGTCATTATCTTTATTTTTCTACTAGTGTAATCTTTTATATATTCTATATTCAGGACTCCGGAACAAGAAACGGCTTGACCCTACTGCTAAACATTACGTTATCGGGGCCAGGGCATGTAAGATACGGGGGTAAATAGTATCACGAACGGTACCCTTGGGGAACACGGAGAAACCCCATTGTATATAGCCTTACTCCTGTATCCGAGACTGTACAGGAGCGGACCACACAAAAAAAAGCAAAAGAGGAGAGGCAGTCAGGGACCACTGACTGACTCTTCACCAAACAGAGAAGGGGAGAACCAGTAACCATTGACTCATACTCCTCAGCTTCAATACTCAGTCACAGACTTCTTAAAGTGACAAGGACGAAGTCAAAAATGCGTAAAATCACTCTTAAAGGGGTGAAGGATATTAGAATGAGGGTAATACACAAACGCCATCCCGATTATAGATTAAGCCAAGAACAGGCAGACTTGGTACAAAGCAAACCGCTGGAAGTACTTTATTTGAAAGATGCTCATTTAATGCAGGATGAGCGCAAATAAGGTTCACAAAGAAGTGGCTTAGAAAGACGATTAAGGTGCTGGACACTCTATGGGAGGTGGCGAGTTTTAAAAATCCATACATACACAAATGATTACGACGCGCCTTCGGCATCTGAATCTGATGCTGAAGACACAGAACTGGTCCCCCTTAAGCAGGAAAATAGAGAAGGTAGACCAGCTCGTGGCCTTTTCAATAGATAAAGAATTCTGCAGAAATCTGGAGAGGAACTACAAAGCTAACTAGGGACTTGGTAGGGTAACCTTCAGAAATTTGTAAGCTAAGAAAGATAATCCTAAAAGTAGTTCTGATTAACCTACACCACTACAAGGCAGCCTTAGTAGTCCTGGTAGCGCTTGAGAGTACGTTTGATATTGTCCTTGTACACGAACCTTGGGTAAACCAAAAGAAGGTCAAGGGTGTAGGGTTAAATGGAGGAGTGATTTACAGTAGATCAACTGAAGTACCCCGGACCTGTGTGATTACCAGAAAGGGGCTAGAGATACTGCTGCTAAATAATTTCTGTTCCAGAGATTTGACGACAGCAGTAAGAGTCAAGATCGGTCAAGAAAGAAGACCAAGAGAGATTATTCTGGGATCGGTCTATCTTCCTTCGGACGATCCAGCAACGACACCGACCAAGGAAGTGGAGGAGCTGGTGAGACACTGCAGGGAAACAAAGATGCAGCTGCTTATCGGCTGCAACATCAATAAAAAGAATGAGTCATTATTGCAATTTATTATAACAAATAATTTGGATATATTAAATATACACAAAAACCCGACATTCATAACCAAAAGTAGAAAGGAAGAAATGGACATTACAACAGTCTCGAATTTCCTCAGCAATTTTATATCAGAATGGCATGTGTCTGTGGAGGAGAGCTGCTCAGACCATAAACACACTAAATACGGCCTAGAGGGAAAAGCAGCAAAAGTCACTTATCGGAACCCAAGTTTAACCAACTGGGTGGTTTATAAAGAAGTTCTAGACCAGTATCTGTCGAGGATGAGGAGAACGATAAATGACGACATGGATCTAGAAATTGCAGTGAATGATCTAAATGATGCTGTCATTTCAGCATTCCAAGAAACCTGCCCTCTAACGGAGAGGAATTCCACCAGGGATATGCCATGGTGGATTCTGTCTGTGTTGAGGAAAAGAGCGAGGAAGCTATTCAACAGTGCCAAAGTAACCAGGAAGTGGGGAGAATACTACACTGCTATAAGAGAAGCCTAAAGAGAAACATGGAGGAAATTGGAGACACCGCTGAAGAGCTCTTCAGAGTGCACTGCCCTGGATCACAAATAGTTGAATCAGTAAGCAACGAGGCTCCGCAGACGTCCTCAGGAACTAACTGGCAGACAGTCAAAAAGATTGTAAACTACGAAAAAGTAGCATGGGCAATAAACTCATGCTAGCCCAAAAAAATCATCAGGAATAGATGGTATATATCCAGTGCTATTACAAAAGGAACCGCCACTTTTGCACAGCAGAATATGCAATGTACTCAGAAGTATTGTTACGAACATGCATTCAGCGCGGCCCGTCTAACATGTTGCATCTCGAAGCATCTCAGGCATCGAGAACCATCGATGGATAGATCCCTCGAAGGCAAGAGAACAATCGGTCACGTACGCCTAGAGGTGGGAACTTTCTAGAAAATAGTAACTTTGGTATATATGTAACGATTTTAGGAGTTAGTTAGTTGATAAGAGAATACCGAACTGTAAAGTTATAAATAAATATATTTATTTAAATTCGAACCGCTCGTTTTATTTAATCTCGCTACAGTATGATGAGTAACTCATCATACTGTAGCGAGAATAAAAACTCAGAATAAAAAAGACCTTGAATATCACAAGAAAATTAGGCCTATATCTAAGTGATTTTTATGCAAATATAATTGTCTCTAATCGACTCTAATAGTCCCTCCTCCTCAAAAACCAACCTAAGTATCGGGATTTATAATTTTACTGCTATGAAAAGTCCTTGTAGAGACAGTTGTAATCTCCTTCCCAAAAAACTGTGTTATTATTTATTTCCAAATCAAGTTTAGAGGAAACGAATTACTCATTGTTCTACTTTGAACATATGGTAATACTTATCCAACAATATTCAATAAAAAAACGCCTGCTGGTAATAAAGCTATCGAACTTTAGACTATACGTTGGTCACCCAGTCTTTTGTGGTCGGTTATATTTATCTTTGCTTAATAGCATACTAATGAGATGCCATTACCGGATAACTTAAGATAATCTTCTCGCATTATTATCTACCTTAACCTCAAAAAGTACGGCTTTCCCCGTGAGACAGTCACTTCCTTTATGAGATATAATGTTTCATTTAGAACGGAAACACTAAATTCATAAAAATTACTAAATAAATAAGTATCAGTAGTTTCTAAATTACTAACACGTGACTATTACAATAGGAAAGAAACTTCGGTAATAGACGATATTTTAGTGTGACGTCAGATTGTAATTTTTTAGAGGTAATGTCTATCTTCATTCTAAAGAAATTATTTTCTACTCAAAAGTCCGAAGCAATATAGAAACAGAAGTACAGTCCGAAGGATTCAATGGTGTCATTTCCATAATTATAGTTTAGTTTTACACAAAAATACAAACTGATCTTCTCCGTAGCTTTGTACATTTTTATTTGTGGTTTACAATGAAATATATCTGGGACCGACTAAGAAATCTATATGACAGCGTGAAAAATTACCTGCAGAATAGTGTAAAACTCGTATTTTTATATGAATTTGTTCTGAGCTACAGGGAAAAAATTTAAAATTGACAGCACGATATTTACACATAAAGATATTAATAAATACACATGGAGTAATTGAGTAATGCTGAAATTAATAAGAACTCATAGAAACCTAAATTTTATTCAGGCCTATGCTCCAACAAGTGACAAATCAGAGGAAGAAATTCAAACCTTATAACATATAGATAAAATAATGCGACTGACAAAAAAGGCAAGATAACAATGAAAATGGGTGACGTTGGTCGTGGTGCTGAAGAAGACAACATAGGAGCATACGGTCTCGCTACCGGAAACAATAGGGGACATAGACTGGTACAATTCTGTGTAGAGAATAACCTGTTCGTAGCCAACACATTTTTCAAACAACATTCCAGAAGGCTATACAGTTGGAAATCACCTGCAGACAGGAAATCAAATTGACTTCATTTTGCTCGATAACAACTTCAAGAAGTACATAAAATTTACTAAAATATATCCTGGAGCTGACATTCATAGCGATCACAATCCAGTTATAATGGATTTTATTATCTCACAACATCTCACAACTTAAGAATCCTGAGAAGAAAAATGAAATAAGTATCAAGGTTGAGAAAGAAATAGAAACGCTAGAGAACTTTGTACAGACGGAACAAACAGACGTTGAAGTAACATGGACTGCTCTAAAAACGAAAATAACAAAGATACAAGAAGACGACATCGGGTTCACGAAAAACAACAGAAAAAAAAAGAATGGATAACGCAAGAGATCATGGCCCTTATGGACCTAAGACGAAAACATTAAAAAAATCCAATAGAATACAAAAATGCAAAAAATGCCTACAATTGAACTACTTCAGGAAAGATACGACACCTTTAATGTCCATAAAAAAGTAAAAGAAATGACAGAGAGATACGGAAAGAGACAAGAAACTATTAAGAAATAATAATAACGAGATAATTATAGGTACAGAAAACAAACTGGAGAGATGGAAATAATACATTCAGACACAGATGATCGAATAAATGAAAAAGATCCACAAATAACAAAAGAAGTTATTTATGCAGTAAAAGCTCAGAAGAACGGGAAAACCATTGCGATGACTCTCGAATATTAAGCATGATGTCTCATGTCCTTAAAACTTTTCTCAGAACCATTCATACACGAATTTACAAGAAGTGTGAATTTCAGATGACTGACACTCAATTCGGATTTCGAAATGGACTGGGAACACGGGAAGCTCTTTTTGCCTTAAATGTGTTAACGTTAGTTTCCTTCTGTGTTCATGCTATTCTAAGCATCCTCCTGTAACACCAAATTTCAAAGGACTGTAACTTATTTATGTGTTCTTGCTTCAATGTCCATATATTCACAGCTTCACTACACTACTCTAAAAAT